GATATAGTGTCCTTCCTCATCTCTTATTATAGTCTTTGGCTTAAAATTTAATTTATCTGATATAAGAATTGCCATCCCAGCTTTCTTTGATGTCTGTTAGCATGGTAAATTGTTTTCCACCCCCTTACTTTAAATCTGGAGGTGTCTTTGGGTCTAAAATGAGTTTCTTGAAGACAGCATATTGATGGGTCTTATTTTTTAATCCATTCTGATGACCTTTATCTTTTGATTGGGGCACTTAGTCCATTTACATTCAGGATAACAATTGAAGGATATGAATTTAGTGCCATTATATTGCCTGTAAGGTGACTGTTACTATATATTGTCTTTGTTCCTTTTTGGTCTGTTACTTTTAGGTTCTCTCTACTTAGAGGACCCTTTCAATATTCCCTGTAGGGCTGGTTTGGTGTTTTCAATTCTTTAGTTTTTGTTGTCCTAGAAGCTTTTTATCTCTCCTTCTATTTTCAACGACAGCCAAGCTGGATATAACATTATTGGCTGCATATTTTTCTCATTTACTGCTCTGAATATATCATGCCAGTCCTTTCTGGCCTGCCAGGTCTCTGTGGATATGTCTGCTGCCAATCTAATATTTCTACCATTGTATGTTACAGACCTCTTGTCCCAAGCTTCTTTCAGGATTTTCTCTTTGTCACTGAGAAGAAGCCAGATCCAAAAGAGAACATATCATGTGACTCCATTTATATAAAGTCCCAAAAGCAGAAGAAGTTAATCTATAGTGTTCTATATCAAGATAGTGTTTGGGGAAGGCATGAGCAGGGTAGTGACAAGAGAGGAAGCAGGACAGGAAATCCAGAGTGGGGAGCTGTTCACATTCTTTTCCTTGATTGGGTCCTGGTTACAAGGTCCTCGTGTGTTCAATGTGTGAAAATTCATTGAGTTGCCTGCACATTTTTTATTTGTGTTCTTTTCTGCATATAGGTTATTCTTCAAAGAAAAAAAAATTCAAAGATTGTAATTATTTGATGGACATTGGGGAAGGTATGTGTGTGGTAAGCACTGGGCATTGTGTAAGACTGATGAATCACAGACCTGTACCCTGAAACAAATAATACATTATATGTTAATAATAAAAATTTCATTTATTTATTTGACACAGAGAGAAATCACATAATCAGGGGAAGAGCCAGAAGGAGAGGGAGAAGCAGATTCCCCACTGAGCAAGGAGCCTGACTTGGGACTCCATCCCAGGACCCCAAGATCAAGACTTAAGCCAAAGGCAGATGCTTACCTCCCTGAGCCCCCCAGGTGCCCCTTAATGAAAAAAATTTTTTAAAGAAAACCAAAAATGAGTGGAGTGATGTGGAAAGTGACCCAGACATATAATTAAGTGAACAAAGCAAGTAACAAAACAATTTGGTGGAATGAGCCAACATGTATATAACAAACAGCTGTAAGTATATAAATCAAGGCAGACATGGGGATTTGGAGAAAAACTACTCAATCTGGGGCTGCGTTATCTTGAAACAAAAGGAACAAACAGGAGCATGAGAATGTTTCAGGTTGTTTTTTTTTTAATTTTTGTTATTGTGGTAAGATACACATAACATAAAACTTACCATTTTAACCATTTTTAAGTGTGCAGTTTAGTGGCATTAAGTATATTCACATAGTTGTGCAGTTGTCACTACCATCCATCTCCAGAATTTTTTCATCTGGCAAAACTGAAACTCTGTCCCTATTAACACTAACTCCCTACTCCCAGTCCCCTGGGCCCTGGTGCCCACCATTATACTTTTTCCAGCTGTGAATTTGCTACCCTAGGAATTTCATGTAAGTGGAATCACATAGGGGCACCTGGGTGGCTCAGTTGGTTAAGCGTCTGCCTTTGCCTCAGGTCATGATCCCAGAGTCCTGGGATAGGACCCTGAACCAGGCTCCCTGCTCAGCAAGGAGCCTGCTTCTCCCTCTCCCTCTGCCTGCCACTCCCCTTCTTATGCTCACGCTCTCTCTCTCTCTCTCTCTCTCTCTGTGTGTCTAATAAATAAATAAAATCTCTTTTAAAAATAAGTGGAATCAGCATTTGTCCTTCTTTTTGGTCTGGCTTATTCCACTTAGAATAATGTCCTCAAGTTTCACCCATGTTGTAGCCTGTGTCAGAATGTCCTTCCTTTCTAAGGCTAAGCAAGACCCTATTGCATGGATGCACCACATTTTGTCTATCCATTCATCCACTGGCGAACATTTGAGTTGTTTCCTTTTTTTAGCTATTGCAAAAAATGTTGCTGTTGAACACTGGTGTACAAATATCTGTTTGAAATCCTGTTTCCAATTATTTTGTGTATATACACAAAACTGGAATTGCTGTATCAAACAGTAATTCTACATTTACTTTTTTTTAATTTTTTTATTTATTTTCAGCATAACAGTATTCATTGTTTTTGCACCACACCCAGTGCTCCATGCAATCCATGCCCTCTCCAATACCCACCACCTGGTTCCCCCAACCTCCCACCTCCCGCCCCTTCAAAACCCTCAGGTTGTTTTTCAGAGTCCATAGTCTCTCATGGTTCATCTCCCCTTCCAATTTCCCTCAACTCCCTTCTCCTCTCCACCTCCCCTTGTCCTCCATGCTATTTGTTATGCTCCACAAATAAGTGAAACCATATGATAATTGACTCTCTCTGCTTGACTTATTTCACTCAGCATAATCTCTTCCAGTCCTGTCCATGTTCCTACAAAAGTTGGGGATTCATCCTTTCTGATGGAGGCATAATACTCCATAGTGTATGTGGACCACATCTTCCTTATCCATATGTCCGTTGAAGGGCATCTTGGTTCTTTCCACAGTTTGGCGACCATGGCCATTGCTGCTATAAACATTAGGGTACAGATGGCCCTTCTTTTCACTGCATCTGTATCTTTGGGGTAAATACCCAGTAGTGCAATGGCAGGGTCATAGGGAAGCTCTATTTTTAATTTCTTGAGGAATCTCCACACTGTTCTCCAAAGTGGCTGCACCAACTTGCATTCCCACCAACAGTGGAAGAGGGTTCCCCTTTCTCCACATCCCCTCCAACCCATGTTGTTTCCTGTCTTGCTAATTTTGGCCATTCTAACTGGTGTAAGGTGATATCTCAATGTGGTTTTAATTTGAATCTCCCTGATGGCTAGTGATGATGAACATTTCTTCATGTGTCTGATAGCCATTTGTATGTCTTCATTGGAGAAGTGTCTGTTCATATCTTCTGCCCATTTTTTGATATGATTGTCTGTTTTGTGTGTGTTGAGTTTGAGGAGTTCTTTATAGATCCTAGATATCAACCTTTTGTCTGTATTATCATTTGCAAATATTATCTCCCATTCCGGGGGTTGCCTCTTTGCTTTGTTGACTGTTTCCTTTGCTGTGCAGAAGCTTTTGATCTTGATGAAGTCCCAAACGTTCATTTTGGCTTTTGTTTCCTTTGTCTTTGGAGACATATCTTGAAAGAAGTTGCCGTGGCTGATGTCGAAGAGGTTACTGCCTATGTTCTCCTCTAGGATTCTGATGGATTCCTGTCTCACGTTGAGGTCTTTTATCCATTTTGAGTTTATCTTTGTGTACGGTATAAGAGAATGGTTGAGTTTCATTCTTCTACATATAGCTGTCCAGTTTTCTCAGCACCATTTATTGAAGAGACTGTCTTTTTTCCACTGTATATTTTTTCCTGTTTTGTCAAAGATTATTTGACCATAGAGTTGAGGGTCCATATCTGGGATCTCTACTCTGGTCCACTGGTCTATGTGTCTGTTTTTATGCCAGTACCATGCTGTCTTGGTGATCACAGCTTTCTACATTTACTTTTTTGAGGAACAACCATATGCTTTCCATGATGGCTGCAGCATTTAATTGAATGTTCTGGTTTTGCTGAATACATTTCAGTATTGTTTGAATATTCCACTCCTAGATATAAACCCAAGAGAAATAAAAACATACAGCCACACTAAGACTTATATACATACTAATGCTTATAGCAAAATCACTAATACTAGCCAAAAGGTGAAAACAGCCCAAATACCCATTAATTGATGAACAGATAAACAAAGTGAGGTATATTCATAGAATGGAATGTTATTCAGCCATAAAAAAGAAGTGATGTACTGACACATGTTATAACATGTATAAAACTTAAAGAAATGTTAAGTAAAAGAAACAAAATACACACACACAAAAAAACACACATATCCCATTCATGTGGAATGTCCAGAACCAGAAGATCTACAAAGACAGAAAACAAATCAGTGGTTGCTGAGGGCTGTGGGGAAAGATTAGGGGCAATAACTAAAGGGTACAGGGTTCTTTTATTGAGGTGATGAAAATGTTCTAAAACAGGCAGTGGTGATGATTGCACAGCATTGAATATAGTAAAAACCATTGGATTATACACTTTCAGTCAGTGAATTGTATAGTTATGTGAATTAGATCTCTTTAAATCTGCTAGCAAAGCATAAAATAAAGTGAACTGAAATTCAGGCTGAAAGAGAATGTAGGAGGAAGGTCATGAGGAAGAGAAGATAGCAGTTGTATCTGATCATGCGGATGGACCAGACCCACTGTTGCTGAATACCAATTGTGCCAGTCATTCGTTGGGTGACCTAGGGCAGTCATTTCACTTCTGAGTCTCAGTTCCCTCGTCTGCAAAGTGGGAACTACAATGCTGAGCTCTTGGGACTGTTGAACACTTGATGACGTGATAAACAAGTGAAGTTGGTATTATCTGCCCAGTTGCATGTAGAAAGGATGGAAGAAGGCATAATGATAGAAATGATGGATGATGGATTGATGGTAGCCAGATGAGCTGGACCCAAGTGTTGCTTTGTGGGTGGGCTGGCATAAAAGCCCCAGCTGATCTGAATGCTCCACCTCAGCCTCCTTAGCCAGGGGAGTGTTGGTTAAGCTTTGCCATGACTCATTTCATGGGCGTTTGGTTCCATCTCCTCACCAAGTCTGTGCCAAGGGTGTGTCCCTCCCACCATGAGGTTTCTTGAGTGACAGAAAACTCGCTTGCAATAAAGGGCCAGATGGCTGTGCTGGCCAATTTATACACAGGTCTCTCAGCAGAAACGCTGTCAGCCCCATCTCCAAGGTTAGCAGGTGGACTTGACCCCTCCTCGGCGCCTAGCCCTGTTGGCAGCTAGCAGAGTGGCAAGACTTGGACTGGCTTTAAGGAGCAGCCATCTCTAGAGTCAGTAAGTGATTTGGCAGGTACTAGTCCTCTCTCTCTATCTCTATCTCTCCTCTCCTCTCCTCTCCTCTCCTCTCCTCTCCTCTCCTCTCTTCTCCTCTTTTCTTCTCTCCCCTCTCTCTCTTATTCTCTCCCTCTCCCTGCATGAATGAATGCTCTGGTCAGTTTTGGCAGAACTAAAGACAGTTCTATCCATCCATTCATCCATCTACCCATCCTTTCTTTATTTGTTCATTTGTTTATTATTTGCTTACTCGATAGATTTCCTCAGCTACCACCTTGGTGCCCATTCCCACCCTGGTGACCCTGATGGAAACAGAGATAAAGAAATTAGGCTTTCAGCCCTAAAAACTGAGCTTCCAGTTCAGCCACTAGAATAAGAACCAAAAGCACTACTGTCACACAAGTATAAACATGCAAGGCTCTGACAGTCTGGAGAATGGAGAGGCAACTTCCAGTGGGTTAACAGGATCATAAAACCTCCCTTGTTGTGCCCTTGCTGTAAGGCATCTAGTGTTCCTTTAAGGTCCTTACCAGATGGGAAAACTGAGTTGGAGAGGAGAATAAGATATGCAAGTTTACACAGCTAGGAAGGGGTAGGGGCAAGACTTGATTCTGATTTATTTGGCTCCAAAAACCATGCCCCTTTCACTTTCTTTCTCACAGTGTTTGAGTCCTCTTTCCTTACTACACTGGCTCCAGTGTGTGTGTGTGTGTGTGTGTGTGTGTGTGTGTGTGTGTGTCTGTGTGTCTGTGTGTGTCTGTGTGTGTGTAAGAGAGAACAAAAGAGTTTTTTTAAGATTTTATTTTTAAGTAATCTCTACATCCAACATGGGACTTGAAATTACAACTTCAAGATCAAGAGTCACACACTCCACTGAGAGTCACACACAGGGTGTCCATCTAGACACCCTGAGAACAAGAAAGATTTAATATTCATTTCTGTCATAGACTAGAGCTACATGAGGGGAGGAAGCATGTCTGTCTTACACAGTCTATTCCCAGTGGCTGGCAAATAATAGGCACCCAGAAAATATTTGCTGGATAGATAGATAGATACATACATAGATAGATAGATAGATAGATAGATAGATAGATAGATAGATGCATAGATGGATGGATAGATAGATAGATAGATAGATAGATAGATAGATAGAAAGAAGGATGGATGAGTAGATGGCAGGGGGAAGGCATAGCAGACCTGATGCCATCCAACTTCACAGAGAAGGGTCTTCTCTAGTAGAGACACATTCCAGACTGAAGGGAAAGTATAAGAAAAGGCAAGGAGATGAGAGAATACCAATAATATGACAGAAGTCATTCTGTTCAGCCAGAGAGTAAAACTGAACTCAGAAATGAGAATGAAGAACTCAGACAGATGGTCAGGCTCAAGGCAGAGGGAGGGAGGTAGACTGATCTATTTGGATTAGAAACACACTGGGACAGTTCCAAAACAGTGTTCCCCACTTTGATGACATAGTCTTTTTAAGCCCAATCCCAGAGTATCTCCCTGTTGGATGTCTCCCCATCCAGTCAGCTCCTGAGCAGCATAGAGGAGTACATGGGGCTGTTTTCCCCTTCATCAGTCCAGGTCCTTTGAGGGGAGTGGAATTCCAGTCTATCACAAGCTGGTAAGTGTCCTGAGGAAAAGATACAAAAAAATCCAGGGGGATGGGATTTTTAGGGTGGGCCTAGCAAGAGTTCTGGGAGCATCCAAGGATGGAAGACACCACTGGAGTGTCACACTAGAGAAGCCATGTTTCATGGACTGTCATCTCTTACCCAGGTCTGACCATGAACCAAGTTCCCACCACTAGGTTTCTATTTAGGCACAAAAATCTGGATAGACAAGCTAGTCTGTTCCCTGAGCCCCTCTGCCTTCCCTCGGAGACCTTCAAACTATCTTCTCTTGACCCCCCAGGATCAGCCAAGAGTGCTGAGAACCGGACTGAGAATCAGAGGAAACATGAGCAATCCTCAGCCTTTGGAGGAGGTGGGCTGGGTGCAGTTTGGGGGAGAGGGGTGGGACCACCTGGATAGAGAGAAGGTGAGGAGTTTAATGTTTCAGAGATAATGGAGAGGGTGAAAATCATGATGTGGGTTCAGAACTAGAAGGTGCTCTGGGATCATTCAGATGGAGAAAAAAAACAGAGATGGAAACCAGGTTGGGGTGGGGGGCCCTGGTGTATCTGTCTCCACAAATTCTTATCACTATGGTTGATACTGAAGATAAGAAAAGAAATTTTGATCCCAATATTCTTCCTCAGAACAAGGTGGGATCTCAGTATTGGCCTCAGAAATTCTGAGACCTCTTTATAAGAGGGAGTGATGCTCGTAACACTCTTGGGAAGGACAGAAAGAAAGCCAAAGCCACCAGTGTGGTAGTTAGAAGGGACTTTCACAATCCCCCATAAATACACTCATTGTCTATGTTTGAAAACTGAGACTCAGATGGGAGCAGTGACTTGCCCAAGTTCACACAGAGCCAGATCCCAGGTTAAGTGACCAGATTTGGCAAATAAAAATAAAGGATGCCCACTCAAATTTGCTTTTCACATTGAAAACAAGTAATCTTATAGTGTAAATATATCCCATGCTATATTTGGGATATACTCATACCAAAAAAACACTTATTTTTATTTGAAATTTGAATGTAACTGGGCATCCTGTATTTTACCCAGCCACCCAACCCCCACACCTCTTTGGACCACATCCTCTGCCTCTCCTTGACGTCCTCATCCCTCTGATGATCTTTGTCAACTCTTGGCCCAGGAGGTATACGACATGTCAGGCGCCCGCTTAGCCCTGACACTGTGTGTCACCAAAGCCCGGGAAGGTTCAGAGGCAGACCTGAATGCTCTGGAACGCATGTTCCAGCAGCTGGGATTTGAGAGCACCATGAAGAGAGACCCCACTGCCCAGGTATTGTACTGCCAGTCCCAGGCCACTGAGGGAGAGGGCTGGACCAGTTGGTGAGCTCTGGGGCCACCCCTAAGTCTGGTCATTCCTCTCACTCCAGCAATTCCAGGAAGAGCTGGACAATTTTCAGCAGGCCATGGATGCTCGGGATGACCCCATCAGCTGTGCTTTTGTGGTGCTCATGGCACATGGGTTAGAAGGTCAACTCAAGGGGGAGGACGGACAAATGGTGGAACTGGAAAACCTTTTCGAGGTTCTGAACAACAAGAACTGCCGGGCCCTGAGAGCCAAGCCTAAGGTGTACATCGTGCAGGCCTGTCGAGGAGGTGGGGACAAAGCCAAGAACATGGCATTTGTATTCCTAATCCAACCTAACCCTAGATCCAGAGCCCCAGCTAAGCCTTGATGTGCCAGTCTGTCTCATGGTGACCTCCCATCCCCATCTTTTTCTCTGACTTTGCCTTTTCCTCTTCTTGACATTTCAGAACAAAGAGACCCTGGTGAAACAATAAGTGGAGGTGATATTGTAATGATCACAAAGGACAGTCCCGAGACCATCCCGACATACACAGACATCCTCCACGTCTACTCAACTGTGGAGGGTATGAGCTCGCAGCTGACAGAGGGTGACCTCCTGCCCCTCCTCCTTGCACACCACTCCTAACCCTTGACCCCTGGGCTCCTCCAGGACACACCCTCTTCCACAGCCTCTTGCCAATCTTCTCACTCCCATTGGAGCTCTCCTGAGCCCTCTTCTCTGAATTCCTTAGGGTACATCTCATACAGACATGACAAAGAGGGCTCCTGCTTCATCCAGACCCTGGTTGATGTGTTCACAGAGAGGAAAGGACCCATCCTGGAGCTTCTGACAGAGGTAAGTTGGGACAAGGTACCTGGAACCCTCACCCAGCCCAAGCAGGTAGGCTGAGCCTCTTCCAAACCTGTGTTTTCCCCCTCTCCTGCCCCCCAGCCCCAAATCCAACCTAGGTCCCAACACAGAAACTAAGATACCCACCTCCTAGCGATGAGTTTCCAAAGCAGGAAATTCTAAACATCAGAGTATTTGAGATAATTTAGATGAAATACAGATAAATTTCTATAAACAAAACCCATAGGTTTAATCATGGGTTGAGCAAACTTTTTTTCCTTCTAATGATTTTATGCTTTTATGGTGGATTAGAAAAAACATAACAAGAATGTCCAACCAATGATTTGATAAAGATTATGGCATAGGATGAGGCTGTAAAGCCTCCCACTTTAGGACATGGAGACCCACCTCCCTTGTTCCCCAACCTTCTCCTTATTGGCCCACCACACCAGCTCCCCTAGAGACCCAGCCCCAATCTGACCACATCTCTTGTTGCAGGTGACCCGGCGGATGGCAGAAGCAGAGCTGGTTCAGGAAGGAAAACCAAGGAAAGTGAATCCCGAAATCCAAAGCACCCTTCGAAAACGGCTCTATCTGCAATAGAAGTGGAAAGGGCAGGGAGGGGCTGTCTTTCAAGTGCTCTCTCTGCCCCATGGATGTTTAGAGGCAGCTCCCACTACTCCCCTAAAATCTTCTCTTCCCAAGGCCAAATGGCATCCAGCCTTTCTTTCATCACAACCCTCATACAGATCCTCTATCTGTCCCTGTCCTTCTTAAAGCAAGTGAGCCGAAACACAGCACAAGGCACAGCAGTAACATTAACACTCACTTCCCTCAGGGTGGAATTTTTACCTCTATTAATACAACCTTAGAGTTGTATTAATTGAGTTTCTCTTAACTGAGTTTCTGTTCCTATCTCCAACTGAAACACTTTTCTTTCTCCCATTAATTATACCTATGCAAATGTAACTGCAATTTTAAACCTCAAGATTTTCCACTGATAAACCAATGCCCACTCACCACTTCCCACCCCAATCAAACTTCCACTGGATCCTGAACCTCACTTCGAGTTATAACACCTCCTTCTGAGAACCATATCCATTGCCATCTCCCAGAGAGTCCCTCCCAGCCCCTGGAAAATTAGTAAGACAAGAATCATTCTTTCCAACACTCCTCTTCCTTGGCAAGCTGGTACCTTGACATCATTCTCCTTTCAGCTCATGGGCTCTCTCTGGCTAATGGAGCTGTTTCATCTTTTTCTGAGCCTCACTCTACTAACTAACTCTCCCCAAGGCCCTGGGCTCTGCCTTCTTCCCAAGAAAATCCATCCATTTATTTCTTCTCAAGTCTTCAACTTTTAACCACTCTGAATCAGGGCATGTTAGAGCTATGGCAAATCCTTAGTGTCACCCTGTAATTTTTCAGATGCTGTGGTAGAGACCCAGAGAGCTTAAAAGTCTTGTCAAATGCCACACAGCAGGGCACCTGGTGGCTCAGTTGGTTAAGCATTTGGCTCTTGGCTTTGGCTCAGGTTATGATCTCATGCGTCATGAGATCAAGCTCTTTGTCTGGCTCTGCACTCAATGCGGAGTCTGCTTGAAGATTCTCTCCTGAGGATTCTCTCCATCTGCCTTCTCTCTCTCTCTCTCTCTCTCTCTCTCTCTCTCTCATAAATAAATAAATAAATCATTTTTAAAAATGACACACAGTAAGTCAGTAGGAGGGTCAAGGTCTGGTTTGCAGCCCAGCATCCTTGCCATGGCCTGCTAAGTCTTGAACATCATAAAACTTTTCTAGTTAGAGGAACTTCCTAATAAAGGTTCTCCCTACTTGGCAGTAGGAGCTTTTTGGAAGACCCCCAAGTCCTCGATACCCAGCAGTCAAGAATACTTCCATGAGATGCTGGCACTGGCCGGGAATTTGAACTAGATGCATTACCTTCCAAGTCTACGACTCGTGTCTCCTCATCTCTAGCCTTGACCTTCCCCACTGAAATAACGTGCAGACATATCTGCCATCATTGAAAATTCATGGTTAAAGATGAGTCCTTTCTCTCCAGTTCCTCCTCCAAGTTTTACCTGGCACCCCACCCTCAGACCACAGGTTCTGAATTCTGCAGTTATCTATACTCCCCTCTTCTTGTCTCCTTTCAAATGCCAACAAGCACAAGTTTCAGCACAGCCTGACTTTGAAACAGTTCTCACACCTGTCTTCCCTTCCCTTACATGTCATTCTTCAGGCTCAAGTTCCATCCTCTATGTCTGCATCTTTGCATCATCTTCCTTCCTTGCCTCTCTGCCTGCCCACTTCACCTCTCCTCTGCCCTAGATCTACAATTCCTGACCTCCACAGAACACTCAAGAACACAGAGTAGTGTCCCGTTACTTAGATATCAAGACCAAACTCCACATCCTGATTTCACACTTCCTTACAATTTCCCCCCTTACAAGCAATCAGCTAAACTCCATCCTGAATTCACTTCTCCAATAAAACTAATGTCCTCTGACTCATTCCTGCCTCTGAGGCTTTGCTTACCACCACTTCCCTGAGCTGGGGTGCCCCTTCTCTCACTACTTCCCATGCAAATGTATTCTTTCTAGTTGATTCTACACTCTCACCCAAGATGAGACACTGACGATTACAGGATTGACAGCAGGAACAAATCTTGGATCAACATAATGAATGCTCAATAAACAGATGTCAAACTTTAAAAGTATGTGTTGGAACCTGCTCTATGCTTAAAACATGAGGCTAATGTGAAAGACATTATAGATTTAGTTCCTTTTTCCTAATGGCCCACTGCCTCCCAGACAAGTCTATCATGAATAGAGAATCAGGAGCCTCATCTCATCTTTCTCAAAAATGCAGGTGTGTTTGAAATTTATAGTTAGAGGCCACACTTCCATTCCAAATGGTTATGTTTTTCACGATTGTGTCATCTTCAGAATGTTCCTGAAGAAGTTTCCAGACACAGAACTATAGCTTTTTAGAACCATAAGGGACCTTGGAGATCACCTAGTTATAGGTTCACAAATATTTAGCTAGTGTATCACGTCTTTCTCATCTGGGTGCCCATGGCAGACATGACTAATCAATCACACCTTTCCCACTGATCTTGGGTGCTGCCTCAAAGTATTTCTTCTCTTAGCACTCCAGGAAACATAAGCGCATCATTGGGGAGGGACTCGCCTAGAGTCACCAAGTTCTTTTTTTTTTTTTTTCAAGGGAAGTTAGAGAGGAGAAGAGAGTTGAGGGAAATTGGAAGGGGAGGTGAACCATGAGAGACTATGGACTCTGAAAAACAATCTGAGGGTTTTGAAGGGGTGGGGATTGGGAGGTTGGGGGAACCAGGTGGTGGGTATTAGAGAGGGCAGGGATTGCATGAAGCACTGGCTGTGGTACAAAAACAATGAATACTGTCACGCTGAAAATAAATTTAAAAATTTTAAAAACAAAAAAACAAAAAAAAAACATTGCCAAGACCAATGTCAAGGAGCTTTTTACTGTTTTCTTCTAGGAGTTTCATACGTTTAAGTCTTATATTTTCTTAAGTCTTATATACCATAAATATAAGACTTAAGAAAATATAGAAAATATAGAAAAACTAAGAAAATATAGAAAATATAGAAAAACTTAAGAAAATAAGACTATAGAAAATATAGATTTTCATGTATACTGTAAGACAGGGGTTCAATTTCATTCTTTTGCATATGGATATCTACTTTTCCCAATACCACTTATGGAAGAGATTACCCTTTCCCCATTGTGAATTCTTGGTATCTTTGTCAAAAATTAATTGATCTTAAATGCCTGGGTTTATTTCTGAGCTCTCTATTCTATTCAACTGATCTATATGTCTGTTTTTACACCAAAATCATACAGTTTTCATTACTATAACTTTGTAATACAGTTTGAAATCAGGAGGATAACTGCCTTGATTTCTGGCACTACAGACTCACCTATATTTCTCTGCTCTACACCTATAATGACCCATTTATCCTAGGGGTATTTTTTTAAGCAATGTCATTGTAGTAAAAACTGAAAAACTGATGAGCTAGAAAAACAGCAGTGCTGAAGTACTCAGAAATACACCAAAAAAAAAAAAAAATCAAATTAGGGTTACTGTGTGTAAACATTAATCATTAATATAATTTTGAAAAGTTCCTCAATTGGTTCTTTTCAGTATACTGTAGGGATTTAGTTTGGGGTTTGTTTTTTTTTTAGCTATATCTTCAGGAATTAAGATACATATCAACACATGAAATCAGTACTCAAGAAACTAAAAGCTAGATGGGTGAAGGGTATTAAAGAGGGCCTCTGTTTTGATGAAATCTGGGTGTTGTATGTAAGCAATAAATCACTGAATTCTACTTCAGAAACCAATACTGCACTGTATGTTAACTAAGTAAAATTTAAATTAAAAAAAATGAAAAAATAAAATAAAGTTCTTTTTTTTAAAGATTTTATTTATTTATTTGACAGACAGAGATCACAACAAGGCAGAGAGGCAGGCAGAGAGAGGGAGGGAGGGAGGCTTCCTGCTGAGCAGAGAATCCGATGCAGGGCTCAATCCCAGGACCCTGGAATTATGACCTGAGCGGAAGACAGAGGCCCAACCCACTGAACCACCCAGGCTCCCCGAGTCACCAAGTTCTTAAGTAGCAAACCCAAGCTCCTCATTCTACAGTAGTAGCAGTAATAGCAGTAATAACATTCTGCAGTGATAGGGCAGCAGTGAAGGCTTTATCCATGGGAATGGCAGAACAACTGGCTGAGGCAGGGTTGAGTACACAGGGCTAAGTAGATCTGGGATGATGCATATACTGAGTGCTATACACCCACCAATGTGAAAACCTGTGGTCCAAACACCCAATGATTCTAGAGTCTCCAAATAAAAACAGGGATCAGCAAACTATGCCTCCCTTGCCAAATCCAGTCAGCAACCCATTTTTGTAAACGAAGCTTTATTGGCACACAGTGATGCTCATTCCTTTACACATTGTCGATGGCTCCTTTTACCCAACAATGGCAAGCTTAAGTAGTTACAATAGACAATATATGGCCTGCAAAGCTGACAAGATTTACTACCTGGATCTTTTCAGAAGTGTGCCAGCCCCTGCCCTAATGTCCTTGCAACAAATTCCCATTTTGTTGAAATCAGCCAGAGCTGCTCATCACCAGAACTATACCTGATACAAATGACAGCACTGAAAACAATGACTTAATTCTTTAAGACCCCTCATTAAGTATTCCCCCCAAGTATTTAGTAAGGATTTGAAAGGGTATCCTGGAAGTTTATTACTGAGTATCAAGGGCACATCCAGGTTTTGTGGGACCTGTACAATTGCTGCAGGAGGAGTTTCTCCTTAAGAAAAATACAAAATTACCAACCCAGAATTAGTACAGCCATATAAGTGCATTGTCAGTTCTCTCCCAAGGCCTTGGAGGAGCCCATGAAAGTGAGGTACCAGCAGCTTATGCTTTGATAGCCTCCTGGAAAACACACATCTGTCTACCACCTGTTTTCTAAGCCATTCTCCAAGCATAGCAGGGATGGTCATTTTTTAAAATGAAAACCTGCCCTGGAATGCCTGGATGGCTCGATTAGTGAAGCATCTGACTCTTGATCTGAGCTCAAGTCTTGATCTCAGAGTTGTGAGTTCAAGGCCCACATTGGGCTCCATGCCCCCCAAAAATGAAAATCTGACCTGCCATGCAACCTCTTAAAATCTTTCAGTTGTTTCCTACTACCCTTTGAATAAGAAAAACAGTCTTAATTTGACTGCTAGGTCCCATGTTTTCATCTCTATCCCTTCTCTCTTTCTATTCCAATCACATTGGCCTTCTATTTTTCCCAAAATAAGCTCTTTACCACCTCAGGTCTCTCTGCCTAGATCATTTTTCCCAACTACCACTTATCCTTCGTATCACAGTTCAAGTATCATTTCTTCAGGGAATTCTTATCCATCACTCCAGAGAAGATAAATGTTTATAGTTCTTTGCAGACTTTTTCCT